GTTAATTATGATGTTCTTATGTGTTGCTTTTTAAATTGTGTAAAAATTGTATTAATTCTTTATTAAATATAAACAAATTTAGTGATAAATTCAAATTATTCCGGATTATGGTGCTATAATTTCTATTAAAATTAATTAAAAAAATTTTAATATCACCGTCTTTGGAAAAGTTCGTTAGAAAGTTAAGAAAACCACTTGAATAGTTTTCACAATTAATATCTAATCTAAAATTGGAAATTTCACTTTTTTTAGTCAATTAAATTTTTCTAGAAATGAGGATAATGAAAATCAGATTCGAAAGCGAAGAATTCAAATCTTTAACAATATTGATAAAGGCTACATTTGAACATGTACTATTTGTGATTCAGTCTACCAGTTATAAGTAGTGCTCGATTACTTTTGATTGCGAAACTTGGTCTCGTTTTGTTATAGCAAACGTCGTTTATACATACAAAATCTTCTGTTAATCTATGTAAATTCAAAATGGTAATCATTAATAACACCACATTTCTATGTATACATATATGACACATTAAGAGACTGTAATGTGTATCATAATATTATACACAAAATCAATTTATAAGCGGCTCGAGTTTAAACGCACATTAGGACTTCATATTCTGTACCAATTATAACTCTTTGGAAATTGATCGATCAGGAAAAATAACAAATCATTTAATTCCCTTCTTTTTACTATTTCGTTGTAAAACTTTCGATACAAATAAAATCAATCGTGAGTTATTAGAAACATAATTAAACTTTTTACAATGAATATAATGTCGTTAATACTGGGAAACATCGCTACGTATTTAAGTACAATCTGAAATACTACGAGCTGCAAATGCATTATGTGATGACATTTTGTTTCATTAAAATAACAAAGTTGACAAAAGCTCTGTCAATTCTCAATACAATTAATAAAAATAGCTAAGTTCACTGAATCTTATAAAGATATCCTTTAAACATGTGTTCATTATCTTGTTGAATGTTTTCGGCTTCACTTTTCACCGGTTTTACTTATGATTTACATTTGATAAATTACACTACGAAGAATTCAAGTCCGTGAATTTCCACCTTTTCTCATTTTACCTTTTTCAGTGCCTGTTAATTTCTGCATTTCTTGACCTCCTTCGACACCTGGATTTTCATGACTGTTCCATGATTGTTCCTTCGAGNGTTAATTATGATGTTCTTATGTGTTGCTTTTTAAATTGTGTAAAAATTGTATTAATTCTTTATTAAATATAAACAAATTTAGTGATATATTCAAATTATTCCGGATTATGGTGCTATAATTTCTATTAAAATTAATTAAAAAAATTTTAATATCACCGTCTTTGGAAAAGTTCGTTAGAAAGTTAAGAAAACCACTTGAATAGTTTTCACAATTAATATCTAATCTAAAATTGGAAATTTCACTTTTTTTAGTCAATTAAATTTTTCTAGAAATGAGGATAATGAAAATCAGATTCGAAAGCGAAGAATTCAAATCTTTAACAATATTGATAAAGGCTACATTTGAACATGTACTATTTGTGATTCAGTCTACCAGTTATAAGTAGTGCTCGATTACTTTTGATTGCGAAACTTGGTCTCGTTTTGTTATAGCAAACGTCGTTTATACATACAAAATCTTCTGTTAATCTATGTAAATTCAAAATGGTAATCATTAATAACACCACATTTCTATGTATACATATATGACACATTAAGAGACTGTAATGTGTATCATAATATTATACACAAAATCAATTTATAAGCGGCTCGAGTTTAAACGCACATTAGGACTTCATATTCTGTACCAATTATAACTCTTTGGAAATTGATCGATCAGGAAAAATAACAAATCATTTAATTCCCTTCTTTTTACTATTTCGTTGTAAAACTTTCGATACAAATAAAATCAATCGTGAGTTATTAGAAACATAATTAAACTTTTTACAATGAATATAATGTCGTTAATACTGGGAAACATCGCTACGTATTTAAGTACAATCTGAAATACTACGAGCTGCAAATGCATTATGTGATGACATTTTGTTTCATTAAAATAACAAAGTTGACAAAAGCTCTGTCAATTCTCAATACAATTAATAAAAATAGCTAAGTTCACTGAATCTTATAAAGATATCCTTTAAACATGTGTTCATTATCTTGTTGAATGTTTTCGGCTTCACTTTTCACCGGTTTTACTTATGATTTACATTTGATAAATTACACTACGAAGAATTCAAGTCCGTGAATTTCCACCTTTTCTCATTTTACCTTTTTCAGTGCCTGTTAATTTCTGCATTTCTTGACCTCCTTCGACACCTGGATTTTCATGACTGTTCCATGATTGTTCCTTCGAGGTTCCAAATATTAAATATATAACACACCCTACGATGGAATTCGCAGCAGCTATAAGGAAGACAATGCGCCACTGCGATACATTTTGCTGCAACCAGATATAAAAATTGAATAATTTGTACAATCCCATTTTGTCGTTAGAAACGGTGTAATACTTCCAATTAGATGCGTGTCTTTTGTGTAAATATTCAAAATTAATATAACTTTAACCCTTTTAGTGTCGACTACAATAAAAAAATATAGTAGAAGAAATATCTGCCTTCTATATTATTTTTATGCCAGTTAAATTATATTACTTATCTTTACGTTATATTCGTATTACTAATCACATAAATCATAAAACCGTGCTTTCGGCACGGAGCACCTCAGGCGCGTGTGTCTGTTGCTTTATATGTGTGTGTAGGTGAGTAGTGTTTGTTTGTGTGTTAGGCGATCATCATCATGTTGTGTGCTGGTTAATTCCGAGCCCTAGTCTAGACACAGAAATTCCTTCTAAATGTAGGCACAGAAATGTCTACATTTTATTTTTCGTATGTAAATACGATATTATTATATGTTACATGTATCCAACGAAATAAAATATTATTGCGTTATGTAAGTGCATATAAAAGAAGATAAAAGGAGATAAAAATTCAGAAATCACGGCAAACATTATTCTGAAAATTATTTACTAATTTCGTTTATCAGAGAGCTAGAGCCTATATCTCTAATAAAATATATTAAAATCACTTGGGTTCAACTCACACAGGTTTTGCACGGAAAACGCTAATTATTAAATAATAGAATAAATCTAATCTCACTTACATTTTTGTACGTCAAAACCCCGACCACTGCTGGCGAGAGGAAGCCGCACCATATCACAATCATTCCGGCAAAACCAAGGAGAACGCTAGCGTAATTTGGACTGAGATCAACGAAGTTCGCTAAAGTAGAGGCTGACACTGCGCCATTGACCGTAGTTCCTGCCATCATGAAGATCACCGCGAAGGTAGGATGACATCCGCTGTATCCCAAAGCCAGGATAAAGATACCTTGCACGCCAGTGATGATGAACGTTGCCAGTTTTCGAACGTTCGTTAAGCTCATTCTCTTAGTGCGTGTTAGCCAATCACTCATGATGGAGAAATAATAGGAGAAAACCATTCTGAGTATGTGCGGTGCTCCAGAAAGAATACCAGTCTACGACCAGAAGAAAAATAAAAATATCAGTTTATGTTGTAAAACCGTAATGAAATCGATACAATAATGCACACAGAACCGAACCGTGATTGAGAAATAATGAAGAGAAAAATAACTGTAGCAGAACTGATATATAGCCTGTTCCATAATTATGTTAATACCCAGAAAGGGGTGATTCCTGAGGTCATTTGAAGTAACTTTTTCCTCAGCGAAAGTGCAATCCGCTGCTTTGTTTACGAGTTATTAATAAAAAAACACTGACCAATGAGAGACGAGATCAGCTGACGCGAGGCGGCCGAGCCAATAAGCGGAACTGGGCTTCGTCCGCTCGTTGGCTCAGCCGCCTCGCGTCAGCTGATCTCGTCTCTCATTGGTCAGTGTTTTTTTGTTAATAACTCGTAAACAAAGCAGCGGATTGCATTTTTACTAAGGAAAAAGTTACTTTGAATAACCTCAGGAATCACCCCTTTCTGGGTGTTAATGTAATTATGGAACACACAGTGTAGAACCGATAAAATAACAGTTATAACGCTTTTTCAGTTCTCATAACTGTATTAATTTAGAACTCATATACATGTAACCGTTTGAAACAGTTACTTTTGGAACCGTTTCAACCTCTGGTTTCAAAGATTTGCAATATTTTTCGGTCATTCTGTATAATCCACAGGTCAATGATATTACCGCATTAATGTTCCATCCGTGAATAAAGTTAAAGTAAGTTGGAGCTTGTGTCATGAGTGTAAACAAACCCCAACCACTACCCCAGTGGGCAGCAATGGTGACCCAAACTGGTCGCGATGTCAAGATTGACATCCATGGTATCGCAGTTTGCTTGTCTTCTATAGTGGTGCCCAGATTATCCAAGATATGTTTCTTCTCTTCTTCTGATATTCGAGGATGTTGCTGAGGAGAATCGTATGCGAAGAATATCCAGAAACAATACCTTTGCAAGAAGTATCGAATACTTTAGTATTTAAATTAACGTTGTCGATGAACCATGAAACATGAATTTTGGACTGTTTATTACCAAATCACGCCAAGTAGAGACGTTACATAAAAGGCTGCACCCCAACCAAAACTGTTGCTAACGGCAGCGCACAATGGATAAGTTATGGCAGCGCCTATGGAACTGCCTAGAAAACCATGTACTTATGCAGACGCTTATGAAATCTTGTATAAAGATATATTTTAAAAATACATCAACATTTATTATTATATATAACAATTATAATCATTATACGTATGATTTCGACCGAAGAAGCAAAGGTGATTTTCGTAATGATGATTTTCGGATTTTATGCATTTGTGGCAAACGTCCGTAAATCAGATACAAGATATTGTGGACATTTGTGGGGTTAACACAAATGCTGTTGCACTATTTTCAACTCATTAAAATTGTTTACTAAAATTTAATAATTATTATACTAATAATTATTATTAATTAAATTCACAATATTTATATCGCAATTGTAGTGATTAGGATTCCAATATTTCATGTTACATGATCTAATACTATGAAATAAATTTTTAAATGAGTCTTCAGAGTCATTTTTGGAAAGAAATTTTTACAACCTTGTATTTTTCTGGAATCACATCATACGTAAATCACTTATAATTTGTGTTTTATTTGAACAATCTCATTGTTTATGTAAGTGTAAACAATCTTATCAGTGATATAATACAATTATACGTAAAAATTATTAATCCCTTGTAAGTTGCTTTTTATAATTCCACTCAATCAAGATAAGTTTGATCTAACAACAAGATCTTATTCGAATTGCATTAAATTCTCCTCAATTTTTCTTTAGCTCATAAACAAAAATGGACAATTTGGGAAGAGGAGATCCGATTATTCGAGCCACGCGGCTCATTTTTATAGTTGCTCATTGTCAATAATAATAAAAACGAGGTGCGAATAATCGTATCGAATAATCGTATTTCCTCTTACCAAATTTGTCCATTTTTGTTTATAAGCTGAAGGAAAATTAGGGAGAATTTACTGTATCATATTAAGAACTTTCATGAAATGTAACTAAATATGTTCCAAACTCCATTCGTCAAACTTCGAGAACTGTTTACGCTTTTCCAACACAGAAGATCACGGATCAAAAAATATATCTTCAATATTCTTACTAGTAGTACTTGCTACCAAAATTTCATCTATCTACTATCGCGGCGCTATGCTTTCCTGTTAGAAAACTATGTTAACATTCGGTGCAAAAGCAAACAATCCGACAGTCAAACAGCAGCGAAGTTGGAATGGTATAAAGATACGAGTTATCGGTACAATAAATAGCAGGGCTCGGTGAGACGACTGCATTGTGGCAGGCGATGAAGAATGAATGCATGTTACTAAAATATATGTACGTAGATTAGATCAATCAAGTATTAACCCATTTAACTCTTTCATTGACTTTTAATAATTGTATCAATTTGATAACAAGAAAGAAATAGAACGAAGATAATAAGTTATAAGTTCAACATTAATCAGCATTAATCAGCATTAATAACTACCATAATAAATACCATATATTAAGTGAAACATTATTTTTTATAAATTAAAACGATTATTTAAAAGTTTTCATTTATTTATCGAATTTATTAGCATTTTAGAATTTAATGGAAGCCCACAATGTTACCGACGAATTAGCATGCGAATTAGAATTTCCTGATAAGTATATTTTTATTTTGATATATTGCTTTATAGCGGACTTGGCTAGAAGGACCAATAATTAATTTTAATAAATAAACCGCGGATTTTATGAATTTTTGACAGAAAGGCCTAGATCAAATACAAATCCACATTCGTAATTTATTAAAATTATTAAAGAAAGAAAGATATTTCCATCGGAGTTAGGTTTCTTACAATTTTTATTTTGCATAAAAATCTGCAAGCTATTAATAAGATTAATAGATCCATCCTTAAAACTCTACAAAATATGCTGCAAATAGTGGCAAATTATAATATTTTTGTTTACNAACTCGTAAACAAAGCAGCGGATTGCATTTTTACTAAGGAAAAAGTTACTTTGAATAACCTCAGGAATCACCCCTTTCTGGGTGTTAATGTAATTATGGAACACACAGTGTAGAACCGATAAAATAACAGTTATAACGCTTTTTCAGTTCTCATAACTGTATTAATTTAGAACTCATATACATGTAACCGTTTGAAACAGTTACTTTTGGAACCGTTTCAACCTCTGGTTTCAAAGATTTGCAATATTTTTCGGTCATTCTGTATAATCCACAGGTCAATGATATTACCGCATTAATGTTCCATCCGTGAATAAAGTTAAAGTAAGTTGGAGCTTGTGTCATGAGTGTAAACAAACCCCAACCACTACCCCAGTGGGCAGCAATGGTGACCCAAACTGGTCGCGATGTCAAGATTGACATCCATGGTATCGCAGTTTGCTTGTCTTCTATAGTGGTGCCCAGATTATCCAAGATATGTTTCTTCTCTTCTTCTGATATTCGAGGATGTTGCTGAGGAGAATCGTATGCGAAGAATATCCAGAAACAATACCTTTGCAAGAAGTATCGAATACTTTAGTATTTAAATTAACGTTGTCGATGAACCATGAAACATGAATTTTGGACTGTTTATTACCAAATCACGCCAAGTAGAGACGTTACATAAAAGGCTGCACCCCAACCAAAACTGTTGCTAACGGCAGCGCACAATGGATAAGTTATGGCAGCGCCTATGGAACTGCCTAGAAAACCATGTACTTATGCAGACGCTTATGAAATCTTGTATAAAGATATATTTTAAAAATACATCAACATTTATTATTATATATAACAATTATAATCATTATACGTATGATTTCGACCGAAGAAGCAAAGGTGATTTTCGTAATGATGATTTTCGGATTTTATGCATTTGTGGCAAACGTCCGTAAATCAGATACAAGATATTGTGGACATTTGTGGGGTTAACACAAATGCTGTTGCACTATTTTCAACTCATTAAAATTGTTTACTAAAATTTAATAATTATTATACTAATAATTATTATTAATTAAATTCACAATATTTATATCGCAATTGTAGTGATTAGGATTCCAATATTTCATGTTACATGATCTAATACTATGAAATAAATTTTTAAATGAGTCTTCAGAGTCATTTTTGGAAAGAAATTTTTACAACCTTGTATTTTTCTGGAATCACATCATACGTAAATCACTTATAATTTGTGTTTTATTTGAACAATCTCATTGTTTATGTAAGTGTAAACAATCTTATCAGTGATATAATACAATTATACGTAAAAATTATTAATCCCTTGTAAGTTGCTTTTTATAATTCCACTCAATCAAGATAAGTTTGATCTAACAACAAGATCTTATTCGAATTGCATTAAATTCTCCTCAATTTTTCTTTAGCTCATAAACAAAAATGGACAATTTGGGAAGAGGAGATCCGATTATTCGAGCCACGCGGCTCATTTTTATAGTTGCTCATTGTCAATAATAATAAAAACGAGGTGCGAATAATCGTATCGAATAATCGTATTTCCTCTTACCAAATTTGTCCATTTTTGTTTATAAGCTGAAGGAAAATTAGGGAGAATTTACTGTATCATATTAAGAACTTTCATGAAATGTAACTAAATATGTTCCAAACTCCATTCGTCAAACTTCGAGAACTGTTTACGCTTTTCCAACACAGAAGATCACGGATCAAAAAATATATCTTCAATATTCTTACTAGTAGTACTTGCTACCAAAATTTCATCTATCTACTATCGCGGCGCTATGCTTTCCTGTTAGAAAACTATGTTAACATTCGGTGCAAAAGCAAACAATCCGACAGTCAAACAGCAGCGAAGTTGGAATGGTATAAAGATACGAGTTATCGGTACAATAAATAGCAGGGCTCGGTGAGACGACTGCATTGTGGCAGGCGATGAAGAATGAATGCATGTTACTAAAATATATGTACGTAGATTAGATCAATCAAGTATTAACCCATTTAACTCTTTCATTGACTTTTAATAATTGTATCAATTTGATAACAAGAAAGAAATAGAACGAAGATAATAAGTTATAAGTTCAACATTAATCAGCATTAATCAGCATTAATAACTACCATAATAAATACCATATATTAAGTGAAACATTATTTTTTATAAATTAAAACGATTATTTAAAAGTTTTCATTTATTTATCGAATTTATTAGCATTTTAGAATTTAATGGAAGCCCACAATGTTACCGACGAATTAGCATGCGAATTAGAATTTCCTGATAAGTATATTTTTATTTTGATATATTGCTTTATAGCGGACTTGGCTAGAAGGACCAATAATTAATTTTAATAAATAAACCGCGGATTTTATGAATTTTTGACAGAAAGGCCTAGATCAAATACAAATCCACATTCGTAATTTATTAAAATTATTAAAGAAAGAAAGATATTTCCATCGGAGTTAGGTTTCTTACAATTTTTATTTTGCATAAAAATCTGCAAGCTATTAATAAGATTAATAGATCCATCCTTAAAACTCTACAAAATATGCTGCAAATAGTGGCAAATTATAA